ATATTTGTAGTATATTTGACTAATGGTGAGACAGGAGCAGCACTGACCCATAAAATTACATTTGATATTTTTCAGTACAATATAAGTTATGCTTTCTTTAGGCACTTCAGACACATTTGCCTGTCTGTGAATATTAAAGTAATCTTCTGCTCGACACAACAGTAAGCCTACTTTCCCCCAGACAAATTTCACACAGTAACTTTCATGGTTAATTGATCTCCGGTGTTGAAATAGAAGCTTTCCTCGGCTGTTCAAAGTGAAAAAGTGGTTATTGTATGAGGTTAGCCAGATGCTCAGAAATGTCTTGGGAGGTCTGCCTACAGAAGGATGGTACAAATAGGAAACAAAATGGTGCCTCAAGACTCTGAGCTGACTGTTCATTAATTAACCAGACAACACTTTGGAGGAAGAGGGAACGATGAAGGTCTCCAGTCGCTCAAACTCTGTCCCTGGAGAGTGCACTGCCTCAGGTAGACACAGGAACTGAAAACTCACTGTTTCAATGTTTCAGATTTGATAATGACGCCATGCTGATACACCGCAGTGGTCTCGTTGATGAATTGCTGGTGTCATAAGGATTTGTAAAAATGAATGTTCATAGATCAAGTTTTGAAAGTTTCTCATATGCCTTCTGCTCTTACTGTTTGACTATGTTTAAGGGACTTCATGGCTCTCAGGCTGGTGCCCTGCATGCATGGTGCTGGCTGTATGCATCTCAGAGCCTCTCTGCTCTTATTACTGCAGTTACTCTACTGGGAAGTGGCCCCAGCAGATCGAAAGAATAATGTTCAGTGCAGTCGCATTAAAGACGGAGGGAGCAAGAGTGACGGACAGAAAGCAAAAGAGAAACAAACGGAGAGAGAGAGAGAGAGAGGGGACATCTATTGCTGCAGGAGTTGGAGTGCAGGAGAGGCATCTTAATAATCATGAGGAAAAAAATCCTAAGAGAGAAAGAACTAGATGAGTTGAGGGATTTGGGGATTTTAAAACTTCGAGAAGAGGTTGATTGATGAAGGAGGATCTGGGAAGAGGGGGCAGTGAGAGAGAGGACATTTGCAGTGTTGGCGGCAACATAGGAAAAGGCAGGGCGAATAAAAAGTGTACATACTGACATACGGAGAAAAAGTGCCTGTGTCGCTCTCAGCAGTTTCAACTCCTACAGCTAATGAGATGCATTAATCACTCAGTGGACCACGAAGCCAGTGGGCTATTGTCTGCACTTGTGATCTACAGTACCACACAAAAGGTCAGCTTCCTGGACAGGTGGAGAAGCTTTTTGGACTGTTGCCTACTTACCCTGCTTCCTATCAGTAATTATCATTACCGCCTGTAGCAGGAGTGCAGGGAAACAAACAGAGTGAGGAAGAGAGAGCTCTGTAAACTAGCATGACTCAACATCCAACATCATAGACCACAGTGACTCTTACACACCATATTCTCTAAAAATCTTATAAATGTTGAATTATTAAATGTTGAAGGGGTTAAACCCCCCAAAAATGGATTAATCTGGTTTTTGAACAGACATTTTCAACATCAGCTTGCATCAGACCGTTGTCATGACAGCTGCCGGGGAAGTTGCGCTGTCTTCTACTGAGACATAGTTTCATCAGACAACAGTACTTTCAACTTGGACGTAGAAGTTTCACATTAGTTTACTTCAGTTTTCTTCCATTTCTATCACTCATGAATGATACTGGGTCTGTGAAGTCCTTTCTTCCTTGCGTTCCACTGCTATCGGTCAAAGTTAGCTTCATGTTTCAGGCTGGCCTTTCTCCTGGATGATATTTCTAGTTCCAAAGGGTATTTGGCTGAATTATGTGAGCTAACATGAAACTGGTGGTCCCTTCCCTGTAGATGTCATTTAATGTCATTCATTAAATGCTAAATACTTTGTAACAAGACACACAAATTTCTGAGTATTTATTGAGAAATGTGTAAGTAAGTAATCAGGAACTAACTAACTGCTACCTTTCCTGAATACCTCTGAATCAGGGACAGTAATGTTTTATCCTTGCAATTAATAAATCTGTGTACTGTATTGGCCGAGTGGTTTGAGAAAAATATTGTGAAAAAGCCAACAGAGACAAGTTAATACTTGTAAACCTATTTGGCTCTGAAACACGGTTGCATTGTGCTGGAATATAACAGACTTAGTACCATTCAACTGCAGCAAATAACATAAATACTTTTTGACAACAGATTTAAGGGCCTTGTGCACCCCCACAGGTGTATTCACTTCTGAATAGACTTTTGTTCAGGTTGAAGGTAGACTGAAGAATGATGAAGGTCTAAGTTATCCGTCCTTATAGAGTCAGAAAGATGTCAATCAAACACTGTTTGAACATGCTCTCACAGTCTGCAGGTTTACGATGGGTGTGCAGGACATTTATGATCACATAAAAAAAGAAACAATGCATATATCATATAGATACAGTAAATTACCATCTTTTATATAGCTTCCTAAAATGAAAAATGACATCGCAACACTACTGCAATTATTTCTTCATATCTGTATCAACATTGTAAGAACGAACCCTGCAACATTCATTCACAAAGGAATCCTTTCAACCATGAATTACACACACACACACCTAATGCAACATACGGTATATGTACTGTACGGTATTACAACCATACTGATGCCTATTATAGCTATTATATCAAGCCATTCATGCAGAGACCTTCTGCATAGGCTACAATCCTGTTTCACAACCAGCAGAATAGGCGACTTGACTTCACAGGTGTGACACCGTTTTCTTTGACTTGCCTCAGTCTGCCATTTCACAGTTTCTTAGCGCCAAGAGTGTACAGCGGCACAGAGCGTTACCATTCCACTATTTATATTAGTATCTAAATGTATTTAATTGCTCTGAAATGAAGGGGGAGATTATTTCTTTCAACAAACAAACTCTGCGACCCTGAATAGAGGTCACTATTAAAAACAACCAAATGTTTGTACTGGAGCTGCATGTAGGAGAATCTGCAGTAATTGGACGAGATTTTAAGTGCACTTATTGGCAAGTGTATGAAGTGCATGAAGCACTGTGGTTAAGTTAGTAAAACTTAGCTGAGATGCTAATTAGCACTTCCACTGCCATCCCACTAATTACAGTCTCACATAGGCTGAGGCATTGACAGAGAGGAGAGGATGATTAGATATTAAATGTGGATGCTCTGCTTCACAGGAACTCATCTCTGTGCTGCTCTCTGATGCGGTAGGAGAGGAGTAAGTGGTCAACTCCCTGCTGGAGATTGTGCCCGCACTGAGACATTAGTCATTCTGAGCGGTGCGTATACTGCCGAGCGAAAAGCTGATTCAGGTTCTTATAGAACTGTAAGGTATTGCAAGAAGGCGATGACCTTAAAGACTTTAGCATCTATTGTAACACTGGCTGTGAGTAGTCCTGGTGTGGATGGCTTACTGGCTCATTTTTCATTTGCTGAATTTTTTTCACCATTACTGTTAAACTCGCCACCACAATGGGTAATTCATCACCTCACCAGGGGGATGTAATTCTGTGGGATGTATTTCTTCCTCCAAGGATAACAGAGTGACTTTACTATTTGTATTTCGCAAACTCATACGTCCATTCACTATCAAATCTTATTATGTAATCCACGTGTTGTAATATGAATAGTGACAGTGAGATGGGCTGCACTGGATGTAAAGGATTTTCTTTATTAATCTTAATAAGCCCCGGTCCAATTCACTGCAGTGCTAAACTGACTGCTGACAGAGAGTTTTGAACAAGCTTCCAAAGCCACCATGACACACTAAATGCAAGTAATGGATTTTTATTTTTTGTATTTACTATCATGGATAGACAGTGTGAGACAGAGAAGCCTGTAAGGGGTGCTGTGAGGTGGGTCAGTTAGGGCACTGTTGTCGGGTCACCTTCCCTCTTCTTTCGCCAAAGTATGTTACTCAGATATGTGAAGCAGGGGTTTAACCTTTCATTCCAAACACACAAGAGTGAATAGTTTGCACGAGGTGGTGCCCAGAATGAAGCAGCACAAAGCGGCTAACTAGACTGCTACACAATAATGTTCATCTGAATGTAAATAATCACTAGAGATGCGCCAATCCGACTTTTTCAGTCCTGATACCTATACCTGGGCTTCGGGTACCGAGTACCGCTCTGATACTAGTGTTTAATTAATAAGCTGTATGCCTCACTGTGTGGAAGTCACTGGAATCGTTCTCCTCTGTGTAAGGAAACATTACATCGATCTCTCTGATACTTTCATTCATGCCTGAGAGGTTTTACGTACAAAAGGATAAGAGAGTTACATAACTTCAGAATTCATTAAGGGACAAATGAACGTTCCTTTCTATGGTAAAATTATAGCCGCCGTAACTTTTGTCTCCCGTCATGGCCAGAATCTCATTGAACAGTCTTTGTGGAGGTCAACTAATTTAGGGTCAGCATTCAATTTACTGGTTAGTTAGTTACTTTGGCTACTATGTGGACAGCTATGGCTCGCTCAGCTGCCTGAAAAAGCTCAGACACTCTCTCTCTCTCTTTATTCCTGTGGCAGTCAACTTAACACAACGATAACATGTTGTTGACCGCAGGGGTTGTGCAAGTTGTCTTCACTGCCGCTTGAGAAAGCCCTTGGGTGTTGGGGATGTGTGAGTGTATTGGATGAGAGTGCTTAGTTTTTTCTGTGTTTTTTCATACTTTCTTATTCATTTTTGTAGTTTTCTTGTGCTATGTATTTATTAACATGGCTTTTTGTAATTAGGGATAATCTACTGTGAAATAAAGCCGGAGACAGGTTTCCCCTCAGGGAAAATCAAGTATAATGATCTGAATCAGAAATTCATGTATTCATTACCCCTGCTGGTATAATAATACCAGCAGGGGAGTTTTTCTACCAAATAAATAATTTATTTTATTTCATTCATTACATTTAAAAGGGGCTTACTTAAAAATTTTAAAATATAAATGTAATATTTAAAAGGGAAAATTGTGTCACAAAGATTGTGGACCTGTTGTAAATGTTATCATTAATGCATTTTTTCACGGTCCTCAGACTCACAGAATCACTGTGTGCCTGCCAGTTTGAGCATCATTACTACAGCAAGAGAACACATTTTGACTAATAGCTCGAGACTTTGTTGTCAGGTCCAAGGTAGCAGAAGAGCACTTGTGGCTTTTTTTCACATCACGCTTGGTGCCAGGAGCACAGAATGGCTTTTTAGTACTCTCTGTTTTTCTCTTGCAATTAGCAACTGTAACAGACAGAAGTGTCAAGAAGCAGGCAAGCGCTATTTATAACAACAGCAAGATATGTCACACCACAATAGCATCTTTGAAAATCAATGACACATGTTGCATTCAGATTTGACTGTTATTTTTGTCACTAGGTTTGAGTCAAGCTTCGCTCTATTGAGTTGTTCTATATTACATATGATATTCTGTTTGAAGATGGTATGTAAGCTAATAAAGCTGACCGTGCGGTTTCCTGTGTGAGTGATTCTCATCTTTCCATCAATAGCTGGCTTGTCAAGGCCTGGTGGACATGGTAGTTCTATTATTCACCACTGACTGCACTGTGTTGTATTATTCTGGCTTGATGAGTAGAATATGTTTCCCCTGGAGAAGAATCTCTGCTCATTGAGCTGCTGTTTCTCTTTCCTCTCAAACCTCACAAAAAAACTATTAATTCACCTTTTGGTTGTGAAGATAGGAGTGGAAAAATATGTTTTAAAAAGTATAGCTAAGTCTTCTCAACCATTTGCACCCAAGACTTCCCCTCTAGCTGTCTTTTAAAGGCAGATGATGTCCGGACTGCCCTCTGTCCCAGTCCTGCTGTCCAGAGAGAAAAAGAGTCCCTCTTGGATCCTACAGAGGCAGCTGGGACAGGCGTGGCGGGACCGGCATGTGTGAAAAGAGCATTAATCAATTCCCAGGCCCATAAGAGGATAGAGGTCAGCAAAACGTCTCACATTTTCCAAATGTCCCTGCGTACTCGGACAATATTGAAGAGCCGAGGCCAAGTCCACTGCTGCCATCATCGCAGCGTTTACCCAAAGCAGGAAAGGCCTTGGCACAAGTTGTCTCAGTGCTGGATTCCTTCCAGGCAGTTTTTTCTGCTTAATCTTCACTTTAAATCCGCCTTCATCTAGCTTTCCTGGTCCGGAAAAGCCTATCTGCCCTGCAATGACCAGCTGTGACCCACAGTATCAACCAGATGAGCCATAAAGTCTGTCTGTGTGTGTGTGCACAAGCTCACAACTGAGTGTGTGAGAGTACGAGAGGGATTCTGTGTGTATCTTTGTGTGTTGTGCTCTTGTGTACAATATGCATATATGAGCAAATTTAGGCATAAATCGTAATTGTGAGGATATTGCAGCATTTATGACATTTTAGAGATGGTATAGAAAGAACTTCATCTTCTCCATTAGATTATTTACTTTCATTCATTTAATTTTAATATAACTTTCCAAGACTATACCATTTGGAAAAAGGCTTAATATAAGAGCTCTATTATAAAAACGTCTTGTATTCACTCTAACATATTTTCCATCTGTTGGACTGTGCCTGAGGACTAAGGCAAATTTAGCTGCATGGGGGGAAAACCCCAAAGTTAACCTTTAGTTATGAATTTGTCCTCCACCGCTGTGGCAGAGGACAGGCCCATGTCAGTCCAACTGAACCTAGAGCTCATTATGGCGCTCTTGGAGGAAGCTGTGTTGGATTAGCTGGTGTACGAATGACTGCAGCTAATCCTCAGGGGTTACAGAAACATCTATTACCTCGGCCATTTTCCACGTTTTTCACTAGTTGAGCCACAATGATAATGATTACAAATGCTTGATGTGCTGTCCTACATCTGTCCGATGTGCACATCTGTAAGGTAGTCATTTATATATATATAAATGATTGTTTATCCTTAAACTGTTGTCCCTTGCTATTCCAGTTTGGCAGGTCAGTCCCACTGTGATTATTCAGCAGCCAGCATAGATCATCATACCAGTCATATGGGATGATACATAACTACATAATCCCATAGTGACTCCAAGGATACGCATCGTCACTTAACCTTGTTTTCCTGATGGTATTGTTATGAATAATCAACTGAGGTACTTTCTGCTCTCTTGAGCCCTTCAGCTGTTTTGGTTTCAGCCTAACAACATAGCTCAGTTCAATCACAGGACTGAGCGCTGCAATGCTGATATTGTTTTGAGCAGATGTGGCATGTGATACTGAATTAGTGATTCAAAGGAAAGTGGTTCAAAAGTTCCCCTGTGTACTTATAATGGATATACAAATTTCTCTTTTAGTTGACATGCTGTCATTTTCTTCTGACATAGTTTAATTAGCGACTTAATTGCATTGACCTGTTAGGACTACTTTATTTTCCATTGAGATCAAAAATCTATTTCTACAAGAGACACCTGGCCAAGGTAGCCGCTGTACAAACTCACAACACGTTCAAATACAACAAGATACGCAGACAATGTGATTGATAAAAGCCTCTATCATCTTCATTTCATGTTTTAATCAATGTATATTGTGATATTCTCTGGGGGGGGGGGCGTAGTGATTTTTCTTTTGGCTGAAGGTTGTCTGAGGTTATTGGGAGAGCAGATGAGGGTCTTTTATCTTTTTTTCTCATCCTACAATTATGCTTTGTACCAGCCATCCTTTGCAATATAGTTAATAGTTACATCAATTCTTAAAAGTTGCATAAATACAAAACAGCAGAAAGACAACTTTCACTTGCGCCGTGGCTCATAAAGGTGCTCTTTGCCATATGCAGTTCTGTCTCTATATCAGGGATTCATTAATGTGTTCATGAGAAGTTCCATTAAGATATTAAGAGGAGGGTGTTCCAGTTTTTCAAAGTCAAGAGGAAGGTTAAAAAGGAACATTAATTTCCCTGCAGAGCTTTTTTACAAAATGAAACATGGATTGTATCTCATTCGTTGCTTTGGACAAGTGCATCAGCCAACAGGATAAATGTAAAAAAGTTCAGCCTCAATAGGATGGAATAAACAGATGAGGATATGTGTTTTATTATAATCTAGTGAATTGGATAAATGACAAATCACTACTTGACTTTACTTTGACTGACTTTGTCACATTGTTTCAAAAATCCCCAAATTGCCATAAAACTGTTCTACTCTGTGATTTGCAACATTAGCCACGATGGCCTAATACATCCTGATATATTAAAGGGATAGCAACCCCTCATAAATGTTGTGGAAACATTTTATCATCACATAATATATTTTCTCATCACCCATCTCTCAGTCCTGTAATGAAAGTCCTGCAGTTTAACAACAGTGAAAAGGACCTCCCGAGGTTTGCGATTGCCTGTCCGGATGCCACCTCTTTGCACATGTTGCTTTTTAAAATCCTCCCTTAATGTTGTGCTTTGACACTGAAATCATTAGAGTGAAAGAAATGCTCCATAACCGCAGACTGCTGAGCAACTGAGCAACACCAGCTCAAACACCGGTTACCCTGGACACTCGCTTCCGAAAGCAATTTCTCCTCATTGATGTAATGGATGTGTCCCTGAACGGGCTTTTTTTCCCACGCATTGTTTCCTCGGGGCAGGCGGCTGTTGTGCTCTTAAAGGCAGCACACAGACAGCACCCAGAGGCTATGGATCATGGCAGCCTTTCAGGGCTGATGTTCTGTGAGCACTAGTATTGATTCACTCTGTCGCGTATTATTATGAACACAGATTAATACAGAATAAGTTTCCATCCCCAGGCGAAGTAAAAAATTGGCGGGATGACATTTTGCTGCAGCGTTTTGGCTGCATGTTTGGGATACATAACAGAGATGGGACAGCTCCACCTTCGATTTACAGCATATAGTCTCACATTCAATCTGTCTCAGAGGAGAAATCTGTCTGTTGCTTTTGTTAGGGTGTAAAGAGTGTGTTGAATACTAAATCAACTTCTCCCCAAAGTATTTCACTGCTGTTGTTAAATAATTATTTGACACATTTACAGCCTGTGTTTGTGGAGGCTTCAATTTGTTGTTTTCTGGTTTTGCACAATATTTAGATTTCACATCGTGCTCCGTCACAAAGGAACTTTATTTCCAATTCATCGTTGCCATCTGTGTCAAAGGCTGCTAATGATACCTACCAGTGGAGATGCATTGTGCCGTGGGAGTGCCGTGTCAGCAGTCTGTACGCTGGCATTTGGATGAGCTCCATGTGTCTTTGCCTGATAAAACCAGACGTGACCTGTTGAGCGTCGGGGTCAGGGATGAGCAGTCTCCCTTGTGAAATATTCAACACTAAATATCTCAACCGAACTCAATCCCATTGTCTTACGTAACCAAGCGATATTTCCTGGCTCCGTCTTTTGCCAAAGGTTAGAAACCCAAAAGGCATCACATCATTTTGCTTTGTTAATGTATTCACTGTCGCCAATGCTGTGAAATTCCATTTAGATAGTGTTTCAAATTCTTCTCACATTATGTCGTGCCAATTTAAATAGAGAGAGACAGAGAGGAAATAATAGCAATTTTAACACTGTGGTTATTGTCATGCCAATGGGGAATAATTACTGTGTACCACAGAAAAGTGTTAAATTCTTTAGGGCTTTGCATTTTAGGATTATGAGTATGTAATTTCCCCCATAAAACATCTCAACTCCTTTTTTTTGTCAGTGTTAAGATTTTAATCACTGCTTTTGTTCTAATACATCCTTTTTTTCATATCTGTCTTCTATGTACATAAAATAAGCAATTAACTAAAAAAATCCGCTGCCTCCATTTTCAGAGGCTTTGAATTGCTGTATTTGAATGTGCACCACAACCCCCAATCATCATTATCCCCCCTCTCCCCTAACAAAAACCTTTTAGTTGTTGAGAGTATGTGGAAACAATAAACATTACAGTGACCTTTTGTTCCGCTAGTGTGCTGATAGCCAATCACCTCTCAAAGCTATAGCCTGTTCTTTTACACACACACACACACACACGGCTTGGTAATTACAGCATGTTTTCAACCATTGTAAATTATTGCAAGTGGTACCTATACATGTTTTGTCCCTCAAAAAGATACGACACATAAAGCCGTGTTATTGCAGTCAGCAGGACAGGGTTTCACAGTGCTGTGACTCCACAGTAACACGGTGATGTTCGCTTCCTTTCCTCTGCGATGACTGATACAGGAATGAATGTGTTCGCTGCCTGCATGACGGACTGAATGCCAGTGTAATTAAAGGTTGTGTGAGGGTGGGCAATGATGAGCTGTCTGCACACACCAATGATAGTTGCCTCCTTTTTCTGCTTGAATACCCACTCTGTTTGTCTCCTCTTTCCATCATGTCCCATACAGTACATGTCGCCTGCATCCCTCAGCTGTTAGCGAGGAAGGGAAGTTGTGTCAGATGTTTGGATAGCCTCTCTGACTTCCTACCACACCCGGGGATGTTTCTGCAGTCACACACTCTCAGTATGTTCTCATTAATATCTAGTGGGTGTTTTCCCTTGTGATGCTGTCAGGGCTGTCTTTTTCCCTTGTTGTCTGTAAGGAAGTCTCTTTAATATTTAATAAGATGGTAAGAACACTTTTAAGACTAACATTAATGAAAATGTGTATTTATTGCTGAGGTAATATAGATCTGCTTTGTAAATGAGATGTATTGTTTTTGCCTTGGAGGAAAATAACAGAACAACCAAAAGGGGGAAATTTGCATATTAAAATGTATTTTTTGATATTTTGTATTAAGGTTTACTGTCTGTTTCATTGGGCATTCATCTCTGGAGACGGTGAACTTATTTGCATACAGCTAATCCAAAGTGTTTTGTTGTTTTGTTTTTAATCATACTTGCTTCACATGATGCTGTCATTGTCCTTTCATCAGCATGACTGTAACAATAACTGATTGCAGGCTTGAAAGCTACAGTTACCAAGAACAAGGTTGTTAACAGTGTGTCTGTGTGCAGTGAGACATGTTTATAACGTTAATGATGTCTTAGTTCCATTTAAACGGTAAATCAGCGATTCTGGAGAGAGATTGTTGTTATTTGAGCTCAACACCCAAACAAATACCCTCCTCCAGATGTACTGCCCCTCCCACTGCCTTTCTCTTTATACATCCATGGCCTGTCCCCTTTCCACTGCACGAGAACGAATGCCCCCTGTTGCTGATTGGCTGGAATAGTGTGGCTCAGTCCAAGCAACGTCGTTTATTTCCCATTTACAGAGCCAGGGCTGTGCATCAACACCAGATTCTTCTTTCATTACTCACTCAGAACAGACAGCTAGCAGACTGTGAGGAGATGTTCGCTGAATTTGACAAAAAATGTTTTGGATTAGGGTCACTGACTGCAACTTTTGCAACCTTTTCCAGTGAGATATCATGCACAATACCAAGACCTCCAATTAAGAAGAATCTATCATTGATAGATGACATTGTCCATTGTCCCAAAAGATAATTTTATTGAGCGATGAAGATGAGATATAAAACAAAATATGTTTGCAATTGGCATTGCTTGATCACAGTCGTTGGCCTGTAGTTTGTGCTGCTGTTCTGTCTGGTTTGGTCACTTAGGCTACAAATAGACGCTAGGCCTCCTCATTTCCATAACCTTCAACCTCTCACAGCAGAGGTTCAACCAGGCAGAGAAGAGGTGACAGATATACTGCTCACTCCCCAGGACATGCCTCTCTAGAGCACGTTCACGTAATTTACAGCACTGACACAGACACAATGACAGGGTGTTTTCCCCTTGAAATACAATGAACCCTGGCTAATCAAAACCCCTTGGGAATGGGAGGTCATTTATACCAGTGAAAAGTTCAGATGACTGAAGTATGTTGAAGTACCAGGGGGAAGCATGTTCATTATATGAAGCACACATATCCAAACACAATGTGATAATTATGGTACATTTGACAGGCTGCTCATTTAAGAGCGATCACATTTTTAAACACAGGCTCCCCAACCCTGGCCGTATGTTACAGCCACAAATTTAGGTATTGACGTCTTTATTTTTAAGTGCACAAAGCGTCAGCACCTTTAGCTGGAATAGATTGTCTGTGAATTTGTCTGACTGCCAACAGCGCTCTCTCTCTCTCTCTCTCTCGCTGTCCAATTTCCATATTAAAGAACAAGGGAAAGGTCAATTTAACAACACCTAAACAGTTATTGACAGGTCAGGAGGACAGAGGAGGGGATGGTCAGTCATCTAAATAAATACCATACGGTCCTGAAATTGAAACTGTCAAAATATGCAGATTAGGAGGGAAGCTGAGATCATCATTGAGGAAGAGTGGTTGTGCAGATGGTTCTGCTCAGAAGGCACCCGAGGGTAGACAGCAGTGCTGTGCTCATGGACGGGGTTCATGGTTAAACTAGAAAACACGTTTCATTTAAACACTGCATTAGCACGTATACAGGAGGTACTGTCACGTCTTCATCTGGTATGAAATCCAATATTTATAGCGTCAGAGGGATTTATAAGATTATAAGAATTACTTTCAGTTTGAAGATTGTAGCTCAATAGCGGCATCTAAAGCCCTCTTCAAGAGGAAATAATTTCCGTTGTAATGCTTTGGTATCAAAACCATTTCCCTGCACAGAGAGGATATTGCCTCCATCCAATAATCATTGTCATTTTTATAGCATTTCATGCTTTACACGTGGAGGTGAAACGTTTAGAAAAGGAGATGGAGGAAAAGCAGAGGGACCTTGATGTAAATCAGTTATATGTTTATCTCAATCTTTTTTCTTTTTGAAGCGAGAGGAGAGAAAATGTTCTATAGATGACCTTAGTTACTGGAGCTCACTGGAGTCCTTGATCGGTGTCATTAGCTAAATGTATTAAGCACAAAAAGGTACAGTAAGAATAGAGTGGAATCACATAAATGGGTGGATAAAAGAGACTACGAAAAGGGAAAATGTATGAAAGTTTAATACGGGGTGATCTAAAATAACTGGCAAAAAGGAGTAAACATGTAGCCAAGCATTGTAACATAGACACGCATGAATCATTACTCATACAGTTTGTCCTTCATTATTAATTTGAAATGCCGACGACAAATGCAGTGATTTGTAGGACAGATTCATATTTGCAACGTGTCTGAAAGCTCAGGAGTGCGTGTCGAAATTGACATCATGTCAGAATGAATCATCTGATTTAAAAGGCCAGCTACACACAACTCTAGTATGAGCCCAACATGCTACAACAACCCTGCTGTGTGAATACCAATAAGACGTTTTAATGAGAGAACAAACACTTGATTCGTCTGATGAATTTACACTGATTTTAATATCTTTCCCCCGCAGATCCATCAGTGCATCACAGACAGAAGACAGTTGTGACGGACATGTGCTACCCGACAGAGATATCCAGCCTGATGGACTTTGGCACCCCAGACTGCTCGCTGGGCAAAGGTACGGTGCTGCTCAAAAATACAAGGTGTTGCCTTGGTGACAGCAGGAAGTGTGCACGGAGATTCATCCCGGCAGTTAGAAGACACAGAGCTGTCAGCTTGACTGCAAGGTTAACACTGGAGCAAAGGCCTACACAGGCTAAGAGTGTGAGGACAATCAGACAGCAGCTGTTGTTACCTGGCCACCAGGGCCTAACAGTTTACCGCAGGCTTTCATTTATCGCAGCTAGATAACATGTTTTGTCATCCAATGTGTGGCGCAATAAGACTCCTAGACTGGATTGACTTCTTACCAGAGAAAGGAATTATACTTTGCAAATTGCTTTCATCTGAATGGAGCTTTATTTAAGTTAATTGCGCCAGAGTTGTATTGTAATGTGCAATTATTGCAGCAAGGGCACTTATTTTCTCCAATCACTGTCATCAGTTTGACAAATAAAATGTTTTATAGAGAGGCCTGTGTGGCTCAGGATAATAGTCTCTCTCAATCCCTCGTGTGCAGTAATCAAACTGACCGGCCTGTAATGATACGCACAACAAAAGGCATTGATCATAAAGTTTATCGATCGCATCTGTATTGTTGTCCACTTCTTTTTCTCATCATAGTGACTGCTATTATTCTGTATTATTCTCACATTGATGCCAAACCCGAGACTCTGCAGTTTAATTCCCTCAATAATTTAAAATCCAATCTTTTCATCCCATCTATCCCCTTGAAGCTGGCAGAGCCTGCTCAGCAGCTATTAGACGAGCCTCATGTCATTTCCACCAGCAATGAGCAGCAACAGTGGTGACCTCACTCACTCATTCTCCTTCTTCCCCAGTGCCCATCACTGCTTTTAGTCTCCCTCCTCGTCTCTTTCTTCACCTCTTCTCCTCTCTTAAGGCTAGCTAATATCTTAATGCGGCTCCATTCCGGCTCTCTATCGACACTCCCCAGCACTGATAATGCAGACTGACAGGTCACCCGTGTGCAGCTGAGAGAAGCGAGAGCAATACTGTGGAGGGTGTAGAAAGAGAAGGCCTTTAAGGATTTCTCCTGGCTTTAATGTGAGCAAAGCAAATGAATGACATAGTGATACAGGGAGTTAAGCCGAAGAATAAGGACACTGAGGAGTGGAAAATTTCAGACTGAAGAACTGTCAGGATAAAAGCAACGCCGTGAATAAGATGCAGTGTAGCTGAGAGGCAGGCTACAGCATGACCTTCAAATTATGAAGTGCTACATTTGGTCAAAATGTTCTTATTCATGTAAAAGGCTGTAGCTCTTCAGACAAGCAGCTCAAGGCAGACAGGTGCGAATTTCAATCTTATATACATAACAAAGTGGTTTTAATCAGCATGTTAAAATTCTATCAATTTGGTTCTGTGAGATATTATAGCTGTAATACTACCGAGGTGACCAGCACAGAAAAACATGTGCTTTCAAAACAAGCGTCTTCTAATAAGGCGTTAATTGTATCCACTGTATCGTTTCAATCTTTTGTCTCAGCTGGGATCGGTCAGAGAGACACGAGCATGGCAGTAATCCTTCAGGTGTCAGCGTGTGATTGACAGATCTATTGCCTCATGTGACAAGTATGTGGTTAGAGCACATCTGATCTCTGGACGGAGCTGAAACACTGAGCGTCCTCCTCTGACAGGCAGGACAAATGGCATGCTCCCTCTGAACTGCTGTCACGACTTTTAAGTGGAAGAGGTTTAACTCGTCTTTCTCTTGCACACAAACTCACACACATTGTGCCTACACCTATGCTTTAGTATGCTAGTTATGGCACTCAAGTTCTCATAAACCAAAAATCCCATTATGAATTTACATCCAGCCAGGCTCTGGAGGCTGAATTAATTCAGTTGCAGCCCTATCTGTTTTCCTCATACCACCTGTACCAGCCTTAGGGTTTCAGGTCTAAAGAGCCCTGTCAGGCAAACAGGACCAGCCTAAACCTCACTTACTGTCCGCACACATCTGAGCTCCCATCAAACATGACACAGACTGTCCTTATTCAGACCCTGCTGGGTTAAAGATAACATGGGAGAGCTGTTATTCATAATCCAATCTAAGTGTGTAGAGCTAATGCAGTTTGGTCGGAAGCATGAACTCCGTATCACTTCACCGCTGTCATGATCCATTTTTTGAGGCGTTTGTACTGAAGCTGATATTTGCAGCATTTTTTTTTAGTGTTTACATTCCGACCTCCAAAACACACATTCACATTCAGGAAGTGAGTTTTGTAAACTCATGGAGGTTACAAAAGGCACTGCGGGCTTAGAGGGAGTGCATAGCTTGCATACAGAGGGGAGTATTGTTTTTTGTTCAGTTGCTGAGTGTAATTGCACACATTGTCCTTTGTTAGCTCTCGGCCATCAGGTGGCGTGAAAGCTCCACCGACTCACCTGGGTTATTACCTGAGGTGCAGTTTGTATTCCTCTAGCCCTCCCTATAATCCTGTTCGTACACTAGGGGGGGAAAGAGGAAAATCAGGAGTGGGCGTGGGGTGAAAGTTGTCCTGGCTGCCACAGGGCGTGTCACTAAACAGGTAGAGAGTGGAAGAGAAAGACATTAAGAGGAAAGAAAGGAGCAGGAAAGTACCTGAGTGGCTACCAAGGGACGACTTCCTGGTAACCTGTCTGGGTGGAGCCTCAGCAGGCAGGGCTGGGAGCGGCCGGCTGTGGTGGTGCATTGTGTGCGTTGGTTTGAATGGTGTGTGCACTGGTCTGTACATATACATGTGTGTTTTCTTTTTTTTTTCACCTGCTATGAGAGCTCACACCACAGTTGACAGTGGAGCTGAGTGGAGCCTGTGCCGAGGAGGACATGAGGTCTGAGAAGGAGGAGGGGAAGGCCGGTGAGTGACAGAAAGAAGCGGAGGTAGAGGGGGAGAAAATACGCTGTTTGTGTGTCTTGGAGGAATAGTGTCGGCCATAAGAGAGGCTTGAGTTGGCAGTGTGTGAGCAGGCTCAAGTTCACGTGTGTTTATAACTGCCCGCGTTGATTGTATGAGAGGAATGTGAGAGAAAAATGTGTGATACAAATGCAATAGTGGAAAGTATTTATTCAAGAACAGTACTCAAGTACAATTGTACGTACTTATACTTTACATCTTGTGCTTCATTACACGTCTTCATTACCCACAAATCTACCTGTTATTTTCTAGATTAATCACTGAATTGTTTGTTCAATAAAAAGTCAGCTAATAAGAAAAAACAGACCCCAGAGCCCATAATGACTTTAACTGTCTAAGCCTAAAATTTAAAAAACAACAAAAACAACTTAGAGCATATTACTATGTAAAGCAACCACAAGTTCCGCCGCTATCATGGGAAAACCAGACATTATTCACATTTGAGAAGGTAGATAACCAGATAACATTTTCCATTTTGCTAAAAAAGTCACAAAAACATCATTTCTGGCATCAAAGTAGCTGCCAATTAGGTTTGTGATGGTCAAATGTAGCTCCCTCTCAACCAGTTGCAGCATTGAAATGCAGCTTACAGTATGTTAATCAGGTTGATTTTTGTCGTGGGTCTCTTTGCAAAATGTCAGGAGTTGCCTCCACACGGCCCTCAACATGGCCATGGTGGAGCCAACTCCACCTCGCAAATAACATTGCTAACAGCATGAACAGAGCGAACAACAACAACACTGGTGACAGAGCTAACAGTGTTTAGAGGAGGGGGAACCGAAGGGTGGGTGCTAAGCTTCTGTGACTCAGCGGCATCAGCTGTAGCCGCTGCCGTACGAGCGCTGTGCAAAGCGGCAGCAATTAGCTAACCAGTGGGGCACATACACTGGGACTCACAGTCGTGGATGTTAGTGCATGTGTGAGTCACTCACATGCACTAACATGCATGAGCGGCCGGACCAGCTACATAAACAAAGCACAGAGAAGGTCAGATTACAAAACACTGAGGTAGTGTGAAGACTGTCCATTCTACACAAGCAGTATTTTTACTTTAAGTATATGTTTATGAAAATACTATTTGTGTATTTTGGTTTAAAAAAATGACGTGCAATGTTTTATTTTACCACAATACAATTATTGCTTCCACTTATATGTTTACAACAATATACGTTGAATGTTATTTTACATGATTTGTTTTTGTACATCTATTCTTTGGCACAGCCCTTTAAGTGCTGATTTATTTAAATCTATTCCAAAATCAAGACTTATTTATTGTTTTACTAAAGATAAGAACTAAATGCTGACCTTGATATTACATGTTCATATGGATAACATAGTAATCTATTAATCTTCTATGATCATTGTACATGAATGCAGTGGTATTTGGTGAGATACTGTGCAGTATTACAGACTTTAGTAGTGTAGCAGACATTCTAAAGCTTGTATATTATGTGAGAAAATAACCCTGAGGAACAACAATATCTACATTGGCTCTTGTGTTCTGAATACTGTTGGAACCTAACGTATAATAAAGCATGTGAATATGTACGTGTGTTATGGTGGTGTTTGAATGAATTGAAATGAGTTTGATTCAACTGTGTTTTGCGTGACTCCTGCTGCAAAGCGTGCACCCTGAGGTCACCACTCAGAACTGCAGAAGATAATGACTTTGACCGACTGCACTAAAGAAGAGACAGATGGTACCGTCACCAATACGCTTCACACTCACAGCTTTCTTGTAATGTCCTTCATCTCCATAGAAAGCATCATTTTGTTTTGTTTTTTTTAGAATAATTTCACCCTGAGCTACCCTGAGCCGATCAAGGACCATTGTTACTTTCATCATCTGCACCAGTGTTAGGCTGAATATTAATCAGAACAGGTATTTGTTTTGTATTTTTACATCTTTCAAACTCCTCACTAATAATTTCACACACAAGCTTCAATAGCAGCTCGAGCACCTGATGCAGCTTGTGAAATTATTCTGCCATGCCTCGGGGCATGAGGGAGGTCATGTATCAAATCATGTAGATTTCTAGTTCTCCAGAGACCAGATCCTGCTGTTTCTGGCAGATGTTGAGTCCCCACTACAGATTTA